AAACTATAACAACTTATAACAATGAACAATGAACTGGATAATATAAAAACAAAAAATAAGAACAAATAATAGTGAATAACTATAAAAAAATAAGAAAAAATGGGATAACAAAAAACTAAAAACCACAATAAATAAATAAAAATGTTCCAATGAAAAAAAATAAAAATCAAGCAAATGAAAAAAAGAACAACTAATAACAATGAAACATCAATAATAATATAAAAAATAACAAAAAAAAAATGAAAAACAAAAGAAAGATTTGAAATCTTCCATTTCAGTCATCCCACATACAATGCAAGATCCAGAGCGTGGAACGACTTTGATTGATTCCCTACATGAGACGCACATACATGGATCGAAATTAGGATCAAAATACGCGTTACAAAGAACACATTGTTTGGACTGAGCGCAAACAATTTTTTTGATCATCATAAAGTACGAACGACTTTATTTAATAAACTGCATGAAAACAATTAAAAAAGTATATTAAAATAAAAACCCAAAAGAAAGAAATACAAATAGTACTAATATGTATATATAAAAATAATTATGAATATAAAACTATGCATATATATACTTATAATAATCTATAAGAAATGATAGAAAAAATGTAATATGAAACTGTATAATACGAACATTGTGCACTTTGTAATCGAATGGTGGTAGATAAAAATGAAATGAACATTGAGGGGTTTATATAGTATTGAAAATGAACTTAATTCTATGGAAAATTTAAAAATTCAAAAGATTTATATATTAGTAAATGAAATCAAATCAAACAAATAAAGGAAACAACCCAAAAAAAAAAAAAAAAAAAAACTTGTGGAAAACAATTTTGCAATATAAAAACATTAAATATGAAGATACAATTTTTATTTTTTACCATTCAATTTTGAATTAAAGTGTAAATTAAATCAATCAAAGATGATATGAAGGATCTTAGAATATTAAAGATTCCTTTCTATTGGTGATTTGATATTTTATTTGAAATAGTAATTGACAAATATAATGCATAATCCGGTTTATAGTTCGAAACATATTATATATTAAATAGTGTTTTCGAAATATACTGATAAACTACTGCATTTAGAAAACAATTTCTTGTCCTAACAATTGCGGGTTGGAGATCACAAAAAATTTAGAAAACAACAAATATGCTTTAAATTGTTAAAATATACTGCATTTAAATTGTTAAATTTTCAAATTTCAAAATATTGCATATTTATTAAATAGTATAATTATTTTTAATTTGAAATATGGTATAATAAAAATTATATACGAAAAAATAGTGTATATTTATCAAATAGTTCAATTAAAAAATAAAACATTTTTTTATTATTATTTTTAATGGAATGGATATTCGAATATTCTAAAATATTGAAAATTAAAAAAAAAAAAAACAACAACATATTCCTTTATTTTAATATTTTAGTATTTAAAAAAATAGTTTTTTTATGAAAATTATTTGAATATTCGTAAAAAAATTGAGTTTCATGTATTTTTTTCAATAAATATATTTTGAAATACTGAAAATATAAATAACATTTTTTTTTATTTCGAATTTATAAAATAACTTTGGAAATAATATATATACATGTGGTAATTATTAAGTGATTGTGTAAATGTAAAATAGGAAAGAACTTAAAAACATCCATAAATAAAAATGCCACCTAATCAATTGAAGAATCCACCTAATCAATTGAACTCCAACTAAGCAATTTTGACAAATGACATCATCATTTGCCACATGTCAATCATTGAGGGCATAGATCCTCTTTTTATATTATATATAGATTAATGAAATAGCTATTCAAAATGATTAACTAATGACCATAATTTAATTTAATCTTTAGTATGTTTAATCTTTAAGTTTAAAATTAAAAAAAAAAATTTGTCTCTTATATTAAAATGAGTGTAGTTATTTTTCCTTTTTTTATTTACTTACTTATTAATATGATTTATATAAGAAAAACAAAAATCATAACTTATAACTATGAATACATTATGGTTCTACATTACTTCAGTTAAATAAGTAATTTCAAAGTTTATCTGCTGAAATAATTTTCCTAATTTCTTTTATATCTTAAATTAACTTTGTTATTTTAATATTTAATATTTTACATATATTTTAATAACTACACTTAGATTGTGTGGGCCAATTTTCTCTCTCCTACTACGCATCACTCACTCATCCACGCGCTTTGTCTGAGTTTCTTCACGTGCTTCCATTTAATGTATCATTTATCTGCAGCCACTTACTACAATAAAACGACGTTGTTTTAATTAATGTTTACACTTCCCCATGCAAACTAAAGATAATTACAGCTGCATTTATTGCCTTCTTTCACATCTTTCAAAAGGAGACCCAGCACCACATTCTTTACTTTCAATTTCTTTTTGACATCTCTCAAAAGAATTTTGAGGCCACCGTTTGTTCAGTATCACATCAAACCACGTGGGAATAATTACACAGAAATTCCAATAACTAATAAATGAGTAGTTAATTATCAAATATAAATAAAAATAGATTGAATAGTTTTTTTATAATCAGTTTATACTTATTAATAAATATAAATATAAAAGTTGTTATCTTTATTACAAATAAAAACTTCTATATAATAAAAATATCTTATTTACGAATAAATACAAAATTATTACTAATTAAACTTCTAATAATTTATCAGAAATTTATTATATAAGACATATTGCTATATTCATTACAAATTATTAAAACATATAGGTATTAATAATATATATTAGTAGCTATCTATCATCTGGGAAATGCCCACATCATATCTTTTTATATTATATTATAATAGTTGTTTTTATTAATTGTTTTTATCAAATAATATAATATTTTATAGGATCATCATGATATATCTTTTTTTTTTTTTTTTTTATAAATATCATCATGATATATCATAGCTTATTGTCTAGACCAAATATAATTATTCATTTCTTCTTACTCTTGCTTCTCCTTCATTCGACCAAAACAGATACCAACTCGCCATTTCTATAACAACCACCATTTCTCATGCTTTACTAAAAATCACATTTTGTGCTCTTTGTTTAAAGAATCCATTTCTAAATTTTATTTTCTGGGCTGATATTCAAAGAAATCATATTACATTTACTGTGTTTTACATTAAGGTTATATCAAAAACTTTACTGTCTTACTTTATTGTGTGTTACATTTATTTCTACAAGTTTCATTTCCATTTTTTTATCCATACATTTCAATCTAGAGATTTCCCATTCTCTTTCTTCATTCTTTGTTTGATAGTTTTCTGCTTATGTTTTTGCAGGTATCTTCCCACTCCATTTCGCCAACACTCTTGTCATCTCAAGGTAAATGACTTTATAATCCCATGCTTTTGGGTTTTCTTGGTACTTCATTTTTAGGTTTTCTTGCTATTTTGTTCCAATGGTTTTCAAACTCATGTCTGGTGGATTTTTTCGTTGCAAGATTTTTTCCAAGTTCATTTCTCAAGATTAGTCATATTTCTATTATTTTTATGCTTGGTAGAAGCTCCTATAGATTTGGGATTTCTTATTTATATTGTTTCTTGAACCCATTACGCATTGTTTTTCAAGAAATAACATATTGTTTTTCAATAAAATGTTATTTCGTTTTTTCCAAGTAAGCATTGGGCTTATGGGAAGATTGAAGTTAGATTTGATTCTTTAAGTTTAGATCAACTTTTACTTGCCCGTGTGTTTTTTTAGAAAATGAAGATGAGGTTTTTTAACCTGACAAGAAAGCACAAATCATTACCTCTGATTTCATTTACTTCGTACTTGTTTCTTCTTGATTTTGCCATTTTTTTTTTCATTTTGGGTATTCTTAACATACTATGTTTAAAGGTTTTAATGGTTTTATGATTGGCCATTTTTTTGTTATAAGTATTATTGTAATTTCTTTTTCTCAAATTTTTCCTCAATAAAATTTTCTATTTCTGTAGGTAATTACACTGATGATGTAAACTGCATGCTTTCTGACTTTATTTAAATTAGACCAACAAAGCACATTCTTCCTCAGGTTCTTGCTTTGTACCATAAGTCTCTATTAGTAAATGTTTTATTGATGTGCATGGTGGTGTTTCGTTTTTTGTTCATAATAGTATTTCTAATGATAGAAACCTTAATCATGAATAGGCAACGAATAAGCTCATTTCAGCATGTTTTTGCTCAACTTGGACAGAGAGAGATCTTGTATCTCTTTTATTTTGTTTGTGTGTTTAATTCAGGTTTTGAAGGGAGACATAATCTGGTGAGGTTTGTAAAACTATTCAGAAAGCAGGAATATATCTTTTTGGAGTGTATGTTTTTGCATAATGTAATTTTGGATTATTATAAAGCTCTTGCCTAGCTAGATCTATGTTCCAAACAGGATTTGTGCATAACCGGTAAAGTTTACACCTAAGGGGATGTGTTCTTAATTTATTAATGTTTTTTTTTTTTTATAGATTATTTGAAGCAGCATCGATCTCTTCGCTAAAACTTTGGAAGGTTTGTGCATATTATTTTTTCTTATTTGTATGGTTGTATTATATGTTTCTTTTGTTTCGAGAATTCAATATCTACTGTATATGTTGTTGTTCTATTTATTTTATTTTTTAATGCACCTTATCCTATAATATAGTTAACTGTGTTTATATTCCGTGAAATAGATATTCTATGTCTAAATCTTTCACGAATGTTGTCATTTTTGTTTTATCTTTTGTGCAACTCGAAAATAGTTAACTCAAATATTTTTTTTGAGATTTATGTAGAGTTATGTGTTCTTCAAAGCAAAGAGAAATCAACAATCAGATAGCTCGCATTAGATATCTTGCAATTGATTCGTACGTTATGTTGGAGGGGTCTCGTTTGGATGGTGAACAACTTCAAAAGGAACTTAGAACTAAATCACTTCAAGGAATAATAGTTGATTCCTTGGGCATCTATAGAGAAAATGACTTCGCAAACCTTGGGAATTTTTTTTTGTTGCCTTGGAAAACGATTGAACAAAGAGCCTTTTCAGGTAAATTCTTCTACAACCAAGGATTTTCGTAATGATTATGGGACTACCGAGAAAATCGTAGGTACTAGGAAGCTTATTGGTGAAGGTAAACTAATAGTCTTACATTGCAATTCTTTTTTTGTTCTCTCAATTTCGATTTAACTATTATGGCTAAATTTTGTTACATCTTTTTTCATAGATAAAGCTCATGAGCCGCCAATGCCGGTTGAAGATGATTATGTTACATCTATTAGCCAAATTCTCTAACTTGGATTGCTAATACAACTGTTGGAGAAGCCACTTTTAGACATGCATTTCTCTTCGCTTTGCCACAAAATTTGTATCATACAATTTGAACCATTTTGAATTATGTATCTCTTTATGAAATATAACTCCAATTCTGCACTTGTTTAGAATATGATAATGTATGAAAGACTTTTTGTAATATGCGATGTTATAAATTAGTTTATTCTATTGTAATATCTCTTGGGAATTAATTAAAATAAACATATGAATATGGTATTTTATTATCCATGTCTATGGGCATTACGTACTGCGCATAGCGCGGTGTGGCTCCCCTAGTGTATATATATATATGTATGTCTCTGGGAGGTTGGGGTCCCCTCTTCCGGTCTTCCCCTCTTTCTCCCTTTTCTATTTTCTTTCTTCTTTTCTTTCAGCCCATTTACCCAACGAAACGGCGCCGTATACACCATAAAATATATATTTTATTTATGGTGTAGAGAGTGATAGAGTTACTTTCGTTTACCGTAGAACCACAACTCCAGTCACCATCTGCTGTTGTAAATTGAAACTGTGAAAATTGTGTACACTGATAAAAAAAAAATTTGAAAACCCTAAATTATCCACATTTACTTCAGAGAAAGGGTCAATTTTCTCTCTCAGTGAATATTAAGACTAGGGAGTCCTTCGATTTTCTCTTTCTACAGTTACATATATATGTTGGTGACACCGTCTCTGTGTATAACACACCGGATTAAAGTAGGGAAGCAGTAGTAGAAGAAGAAGATGATTGCGGGGGAAAGTTCGGCGGCGGCGGCGGCGTCGAGCAGTAGATCTGGAGGCGGCGGAGCCACGGCGGACTCGTACATCGGCAGCTTGATTAGTTTGACTTCGAAGAGTGAGATTAGGTATGAAGGCATACTCTACAATATCAACACTGAAGAGTCCAGCATCGGTTTGCGCAACGGTGAGAACAATGACTAAAAGCAATTTATTTTTTTCGTGTTTTTAATCAAAAATTGTTGCAATTTTTTGCCCTATCTATTTTGTAAATTTGATTTTTTTGGATTTAATTATTTTCTTGTACTTAGCCCCAAATGCTATCTTTAGTTGCATGTCAGCAAAAGCTAAACATTGTTATATGTATTTTTTAGGAAACGTTTTTTTTTTTTTTCCTTCTTTGTTTTAACAGTGTGTTCAGTTTCCAGAAGTGGCGAACACATTGTCAATTCATTTTTAATGAATTAACTATTGCTACTTATGAATTCGGAGTTCACAATTAGTGCTGCAGTTTATATGCAATTCGGGTTTAGGTTCTCCAAGGAGAAAGTAATTTGAGCTTTACAAGCGATTAATTAGAAATAATAATTTTGTAAGCCCTTTATATTTTTTGGATTCGAGAATCCCGAAAATCTAAAATGCTGGAGTTATTGCTAGGTCATTATGTATACCACTTGAATTGCTGAAACGTCGTTGGTTTAAGATCCTTTTAAGTTTTATCATAAAATGAAGTTTCAAATTGGTATAAGTTAGCTTTTGTTTTTACATCTTTCATGAGATTTGATTAAATTCAGTTTTTGGATCAAAACTACATTAAATTTTATGCTCACCTAAAATGATAAATTTGAGGTTAATTTACTTGCTCCATGAACTAATGGGAACATTAATCTTAAAATTTGTATGGTTGATCATAGTTTCTTTCAGCCAAATCTTGATATCGTGATTGTTTGTATGTTCATCTATAACATAGTACAATAACCTTGTTTGCTAGGTCAGTTGAGGTTGAAAACTAATTGTTTTTGCTCTAAATATCTTTTGGCAGTGAGATCATTTGGAACCGAAGGACGGAAAAAGGACGGCCCACAAGTCCCTCCTAGCGACAAAATTTATGAATACATACTGTTTAGAGGAAGTGATATCAAGGTATTCATTGGATTTTGTTTGCATCTTTTGCGTTGAATTATTTGATTTCTTGAGTTGTGTTCAATTGCATGTATGAGGAATTCATTATTATCCATTGCCTGTTGAGAGATGTTCTGATCTCATTCCAGTTAGTACATTGTTTTCACATCTGCTAATCACTATGCAGAGGAAGTCAGCCGTGTATTCTGTCATTAAGCTTAAGTAATTTTTAGGTGAACTCGTGCAACTATAATATATATGTGAAACATTCCCTTCTATGATCTGAGTCTCTTTATTTTGTGCTTGTATGTACAAGTGCCGTTTCTTCACCTGATATTTCTTTTCAGGCTAAAGTTTCTACCACAATTTCTATTTTCCACAGGATTTACAAGTCAAAGCATCTCCGCCAGTTCAAACAACACCACCGATAAACAGCGATCCTGCAATTATTCAGGCAAGTAGTACCACAACTGTTATTGTAATGGGATGTAGGAGGAATTGACTCTTAACCAATCTATTTTGGTGTAGTCACATTATCCTCGTCCAGCAACTCCACCCACAAGCTTGCCTAGTGCTCCTACTGGATCTTTAGCGGATCTTGGTCCCCATCCTGGTCAAATGGGACTCCCTGGGTCAACTTTCCAGAGTGGTCTGCCTTTATATCAACCCGGAGGAAACTTGAATTCGTGGGCTCCTCCTCCACCAAATGCAAATGCTAGTGGCTTACCTATGCCTATGTATTGGCAGGGATTCTATGGCACACCTAATGCTCTTCCTCAACTGTCTCAACAATCACTGCTTCGACCACCTTCTGGTTTGCCAATGCCTCCTTCTATGCAGCAGATGCAGTTTTCTGGTTTCAATGCATCATTGCCGATGGCAGCATCGAACCTGCCCTATCCTAATTTTACGGATCAATACTCGTCCTTGGTTCCCAATACGAGTTCTTCTAGTTTGACCCCTTCTTTTCCTGCTTCAAGTTTGTCTTTCAGTGTTCCGCCTTTGCAGCCTGTTTCACTAGCATCTGAAACAACGATCGATTTGCTGTCAAACAAAGCTCCTATCTCTGCTATCCATACATCAACTCCTAGCTCTAGTTTGCCACCATCAGCTCCGTATGCTACTCCAGTTCCTGATAATTCGGGAATAAATCCAGTTGCTAGCAAACCCAGTGCAGTTCCTGGTCCAGCAGCCTTGTCACAGCCGAACATACCTCAGCCAGTAACATCTGTTGCTGGGGCACCTGGTTCGGTTAGTTCAGAAATACTGACACATTCACTTATCACCCCGGGGCATTTGCTGCAGTCTGGACCCTCCACTGCTTCTTCTCCACCTCAGCTTCTTCAAACAACACAGAAGGATGTGGAGGTTGTTCAAGTGTCGCCGAAGCAATTATCAGAATCATCAGTCCCTGTAGTGACAGAATCTCAACCACCAATTTTACCCTTACCGCCCAATGCTCGAGCTCATAAGGTTTTCTTCTTTTCCTACACAGCTATGGTTGCACACACGCAGTTCATGCTTTTAGCATGTCCAAATATTAGTTTGTTCTTCATAATTCTATAAAGAAACTAATGTCAGAAAATGAGGCAACATATTGCAATTATCGAGCATAAACCTGATCTAGAAAAACACTGTAGTTTTTGGCTAACAACAATATAAGTATATACTATAAACAAAGTTAGAGAGATCTTCAATTGCATAATCAGGGTCAATATGGTGAAAATGACCAACACTTAATATTTATTGATTGCATAGTAATTCTCTCACCAGTAGCCACTTAACAAAAATGCAATGCCTAAAATAGCTTTGCTTTGTAGATCTATAAAGATAAACATTTCATGTTGCATTTTACTAGTAATTCTTATTGTTCAACTATTGAAACTTGTACTTTTAATCTCTCTGTTTTATCGACCCAAACTTCTCTGTGATCGTGGCTTGTAATAGTTACTTGATAACTTGGAGTTCGGAAACTAATGATGTATTTTTGTATTGTTTAAGCCAAATGGAGGTGCTTATCACATGCGTAACAATTACAGAGGGCGTGGTGGAAGAGGACCTGGGGTAAGAACTCGCCCCATTTTTAGTGTTTTATCATTCTTATAAGTTATCACTGATTTCTACTCTTGATTAATTAACACCTCCTTCAGTATTTATCCTATTGAGTTTTGTAGGAGTTTCCTTCATGTGTTTCATAGTCAGTTAGGTACATACGTCAGATTTTTTGGTAGTGTGTTAAAATTGATTCTCTTTGTGCTGCACTTCTAATTTTTCCTTGTTCATTTGAATAACATTTTTTCGGTAGTGTGTTAATAACCAATGTGTATTATTTACATTAGATGATGTGGAAGTCATCTGTTGGCATTTCTGTAGATATTGATGCCAACTTAGTGGCTAGGTGAAGTAATAACTCACACAATTTTATATTTTTAACATGTATGTATTGTTTCGGATGCTATAGTTTGTAGCTCTGTAATTCAAGGGCAACCACTACCAAGAATTTGTGTACATGCTAATAAATATTCCTTATTAGATGTTGCCAACTATGAATTGCTCGATTATATGTGTTGCTGGTTGAGAGAATTGCTACAAAGCGAGGATAGCCAGCTACAAAACTGTTGACCAGTCTGACCATTGAGCATTTTTCTTTTGCCTGCAGATTTTACGCCCTGTGACAAAATTCACAGAAGACTTTGATTTTACGGCTATGAATGAAAAATTCAAAAAGGATGAAGTTTGGGGTCATCTGGGAAAAAGTAATAGATCCCAATATAAGGATGGAGAAGGAAATGAAAATGCCAGTGACGAAGAAGATGAACAAGACGAATATGTTGTCGAATTGCCAAATATTGAGATCAAGGTGATTGTTTAATCGATGTCTAAGTCAATACTCTGAACTGGGAACTTGCAAGAGATTTGACTTTTTATCATGCTTGTGCACTTTGCAGCCCATTTACAATAAGGATGACTTCTTTGACACTCTTTCTTCCAACTCTGTCGGCAACGACCCTAATCATGGAAGGACAAGGTTCTCAGAGCAAATGAAGTTAGACACAGAGGTATGTCCAATCCATTGTATCAAATTCCATATTGTACAGTTTTCCAAAAAAAAAAAAGGAGAATCCATATCGTATCGTGTATTGTTTTCCTCAGCATTAAGTCATGAATCATGTCGTGATTAGTAATGTACATAACCAGCTATAACACTTATTATAAATTGCAGAAAACTTATTTTCACAAAATAAAACATTACTAACGTGTTAAAAATCTAAAATTTTATAGGTAAGCCACTAGTTTTGAAGTAAATCTAGGTTCAAAAGTTTCAACATGCAAGTTTTAAAGTTAGTTATAAAAAACCATAATATTTTAAAATATAGATTTAATAGCATAAAATCCACTCCAATGCCAACACTTAATCAAAATAGCACAAAGCCCACTGAATCGCATTGAACAGTGATGCCTGTCAAAATTGGCCCCGAATACCCTCTGAATTGTGATTACATTTTAGATATTCGACTAAGACTGCGATTTTAGTTGGCAAGATTTGCAATATTATGATTGTTTTTGAAGAAACTGAAGAATAAATCATTGGAATTTGTCTCTGTAGAAAAATAGTAAACGGAGATGTTTTAGTACAGTACGGTTGAATCCCGATTAGGTAGCAATAAATAGATTTGAGACAATATCATACAATACCATGTACATGGCACGACACTCATTAACATTGGTCCAATCTCCTCCACATCTTAAAATATTTGAAATTGGCTGATGTAAATTCGTGAATGTGCAGACGTTTGGAGATTTTCCAAGGTATAGAGGTGGTGGTAGAGGAGGCCGTGCATTTAATCGTGGTGGTGGTGGATTTCGTGGTTCCTATAATGGAAGAGGCTATGGTGGCGGTGGTGGTGGTTATGGCTATTATGCGGGTAGGGGGCGTGGCAGAGGTGTGCAGAATCGTGCTCCCTAAAGCAGTAGAGAATATGGCTTGCTATTAATAGTAAGGTAAAAAAAAAACTAACTCCGATCTTGTCTTGTGGTGACAGGAATTGATTAGGAGACTTACATGTAATGTCTGTGCATTTTCTATTTTCTTTTGTTTTGTGTAATAAAATTAGGATCCGCGATAGGTGTGTTTGATCTCCTTCCTGGATTTTTTCTTTTTTTTTTTGGAGGTTGAAATAGAAGTTTCATGTCATCTCTGCTCTTGCAATGGAGATGATGGTAGCTTATATTCCGTTTGCGCTTTTTACTTCTGTTAGATTGTACTTTAATGGAAGAAATTTTAGTGATTTTCTTCTGAATGTTGTTATTAAAGAGTAGTTATGTGCTCTTGCAAAAAACCCGAAGAAAGTATTATTGAATTTGAATTTGTAGTTGTGTATTCAGAAGTTGTCTTATTATCTCAAGTTGATTGTGGTCGTTTGATCCCCACTTGAAATTCGTCAGTTGCAAAAGTACACGCTTGCAATGTAGTTTGATAGGTTTATTCGTATGTATCCCATTAGTTTATGTCGCAACTAGTTGATATATGAAAGTGTATGTTTGAATTTGTTGAGACTGTTCATTGTTGACAAAGGCATATTCTTCATGCATTTGAAGCAAAATATATACATGTTTACAAGACAAGTATCTATATTAGATAGCAAATGCCATCAAATGCATCGATGAATTCTAGTCCATCTGTCATCTTTCTGAGCCAATAACTTTGTAAGAGTAGTTGGATTCTGCATCTCTCCAGACAGATTCACTAAAACCATAGGTTGAAACGAGGTTGGAACGGAATTTACAAATTCCGACGATTTCAATCTGATACTTGCTGATTTTGGAACGAAACTTTTCATTCAGAAGTTTTGATTTTTCAAAAAAAAAAAATTGGATTGGAGTTCGAATATATATATGAGATCCCGTATTTATTTTCTGAAAATAATTCCGAAAATTTACATTTTTTCCAAAAATTACACTGTAGTATCGATACTATAATGTATTTGAAATTTTATGGGATGAAAAAATTGGAACTCTTCCGAATTTCGCGGACTTCAAGTCTTGAATTTACGATTTTGGAACGAGGTTCATTTAATTCCAATTTTCAAAATTCCGATTGTTCCAAGTTTTTGTAACAGAATTAGAATTAGTTTACTTCCCAAAAAAAAAATCAGATTTTTTTCAAAAGTACTAATTCTGATTCAATCCGTCCAATTTCCAACCCTAATGAGACGACTTTCTTTAATGTAAAAAAAAAATAAACTAATAAAAAATAATTATAATTTACACCTTCCCAAAGCCGGCACTGAAAGAACCTAGGTTTCCAATGAGAAACAATTGCTTACAAGTTCAAACAAAGCATCAACAAACAACACATACAGTTAAATTCGTTGTTAACCAAGAAACTGTAATAGGACAAAAACCAACGACATTACTAATTATCCTTAATTAAACCACACAACAAGAATAAAGATTCCCCACACTAACAAAGTAAACCTCCTATAAATTTACATCAACTGAAATATAACAACATCCACACTCCAAATCAAAGAGCCAAAAAAGAAAAAAAAAGAGGGAAATTAATTTTAAAATATCGAAAATGGAGTTCACCTGCAAGGACTTCAAGGTGGGGAAATGCGAGGGGGAGAAGCTGGTGCACGGAGAAACCATGCCTCTAGTGCTCCAGCCCCCGGGCCCATGGACAGATGTCGAGTCGTTGTTGGTTAGCATCGAGAGGAACAAGGAGTGGTTCGAGGATATGATCGTCAAGAACAGCGCGGTTCTCATCAGGGGGTTCGACGTAAGTAACGCGGTCGAGTTCAATGACATCGTCGAGGCCTTTGGATGGGAGGACATACGCTACGTGGGGCCCGCGCCACGAACCCACATACACAAGCGTGTCTGGACGGCCAACGAGGGGCCTCTCTCCGAGTTCATATACTACCATCACGAGATGGTCTTGGTGAGAGCCCTAATCAATATAATTGGCGTTTCAATTTTATTGGTACCGTCAAATGTGATTTTTGACTAATTTTTAGTCGAACATTTGGCAACGCTTATAGCACCAACTTTGTAGTTATTTGAGCTGACTTTCTAATCAATTTTGATTCAGCTAGATTGGATGTTGGCTAAGACAGTTATGCATGAATGAGTTACAAACTTACAGTCCAAATCTCAGAAAACTCAAAACATCAAATTTGTAGCCATTGTTCATTCATTCATGCATAACTATCTCACACGACGTCCAATCTAGTTGATTCAAGTTCGATTAAAGAGCTGGCTCAAATGACTATAATTTTGGTGTTTTGAGTTTTGCGAAATTTAGACTGAAAAAGGGTCAAAATCACATTAGAAGCTAAATTGAAACGCCATATAGCAATTCAGAATAGTACTTATGTACCGTTGCATACATTGTTTTAATTTGTTGATGATATTATGAAAATTTGCAGATAAAGGAATTTCCGAAGAAGGTGATACTATTCTGCGAGGTGGCTCCACCGGAAGGTGGGGAAACGCCGTTTGTGCCGAGTTTTCGTGTGACGGAGAGAATGATGGAGGAGTTCCCGGAGTTTGTGGAGGAGCTGGACAAGAAAGGGCTGAGATACACCTTCACCGCCCTAAGCAAGGACGACACTTCTTCCATGAGAGGCCGAGGTTGGGAAGACGCCTTCGGAACATCCGATCGTGCAGAAGCAGAGAAAAGGTACTCTTTCCTATATACATTAATCTCTCTCTCTCTCTCTCTCTCTAAATTTGTTCTTTGGTGGTCTTTCATTGCGTTATGGTATATATAAAGGCTCTTTTAAGGTTGATCTTTGAAGGAGTTGTATTCTCTACTGTACCTCTTCTATACAGCCCCTTTAAGGAGGTTTGTACGGAATTTTCAAAATCCACCGGTTCTGATCCGATTTTTTTTTTAATTTTGGAACAATATTTATCATTCCGAAGTCAGAAAGCCCCGTTTTCCAAATTTTTTCCGAATTCTTTTTGGAACGAAATTGGAATGCATACCAGATCCCGATTTTCAATCCGATGTTAATTCATGAAAATATTTCCAAAACCGAAATATAGATTTATATTTATGTGAATTTTGAATTCTGCCGATTTCGATCAGAAAATTTGGATTCTGGAATAATTTTTTCCAATCTATTTTTTCCGATTTTTCTGGGAACAAAATTGAAATTGGTTCACTTTCGGAAAAGAAAAATGGATTTTTTCCGGAAGTGCTAATTCTGACTCTATCTGCCCGATTTCCACCCCTAATTTGTAAACTATGTTGTATCAAATTTGGATCAACAAAATGCTCAACCTCGAATAATGCATGGCTATTTAAAGCTCCGATATGTATTCAAAATCCTAAGCGAGTCGAGTTTGAACGAGCTTTAATCCGACATCCGCAGGGCAAAAGCACTAGGAATGGACGTAGAATGGCTACCAAATAACGGCGGGGTGAAGACAATATTGGGACCAAGGAATCTGACACGTGTATTCGAAGGGAGAAAAGGGAGGAGAATGTGGTTCAACACTTTGGTAGGTATGCATGGCAAGGAGCTGAGCTCCGCCACAATGGCCGACGGAACTGAAATTCCGGCGAACATTGTAAGGAGATGTGAAGAGATAATAGAAGATGAGAGCATTCAATTCAAGTGGCAGAAGGGTGACGTTCTGTTTCTTGACAATTATGCCCTTCTCCATGGGAGGAGGCCTTCTCTTCCACCTAGAAAGGTCTTGGTTGCTACTTGTAAATAATCGAAAAATTAGTGGCCTTTTATTATATATCAAGAATGAGCAGCTATACTAAATAAGCTCTTCTTTGGCACTACTAAGCTTTTGTTTTGGAATGTAATGAATAAATAGCCAACTTTTGTGGTGTTATTTTGTTGGTTCCTTGTTTTCTATTAATCTTTATGAAGTAGGGTAAATTACGACCAACCAGCCGAGTTAAGGTTAAATTACCAAAAAAAAAAAAAACTTTCCTGTTGGGGAAATTACAACTATCCTCTCAACTATAAATCTTTTGTATGTCCATCTTTGCGGTGTAAAATTTAGTGGAATCTTTTAAATTATGTGGCATATTCTCCAGTTTGTACCCATTCGAGCTCCACATTTTGGAACAAGATGATCATAAAATATCAGATTGTGGTGCATCAGAAACTGCATTTTTGCAGCAAACTAGTACAAACTAGAAAACGTTCACACGAACAAGATTTTTTTTTCGTAATTTGACCTTACCTCAAGGGT